GCCTTATAGTCGTGAAAATACGGTAATCTAACCGTCATACCTTTGGACTGTAGGTGGAGTACAGTCCAGAGTACCTGTAGAGAACCAAGGAATATATGGGGAGGACATGCTAAGTCCATTTAGAAAGCCCCCAGGCCAAGATTCGAAACCAGAACCTTCTTGCTGCCATGCAACAGTGTAACACACTGCGGTACCATGCAGCACTGTGGCAATACTGATTGATGGAAACATCAAGAACAAGAACATGAGAAAGTTGAAATATACCAAGTGCTCAACTAGAAAAAACTAGCTTTGAAAAACATCAGCAATTTCAGTCCAGAAGTCCTGTTAACAGATGAGATATTTTGAAGACCCAGGTGTCTGGCAGAGGACCAGAGCTTGAGATGAAGAACCACCTACTGTACCACAGCCATATGTCACATAATAAACTTCTTCATTTACAGTCCTCAAGGTCAGATGTCTGGCAGCTTTTAACCTTATCCACGCATTTCTTCATCCATGCATCATTTCTGTCACAAGCAAAATGTGATGGATGAGAAGCAAAATCTATCAGTCTCTGAAAACTAGATGAGTCATACACAAATATAGACATGGGGTGAGTAAAGCAGATCTAGTACATTTTAAAATTAGGAAGTGATCTGTGGATGGGTCCTGCATGCATCAGTTGAGGACTGGTGCACAGAAGCTTTTTGTGCTGGATGGCTTTGCTGATACATGAAGTAGTATGTGTGAAGCTGTCTTTAGATGTGTCTCTCCTTCAACATCTGAATCAAATGACTGCGTAACAGCCTCAGGATGCAGTCAACTTCTTCACAGTCTGCTAATGCAATCATTAATTGACTCACGTGTTTAAACAAGAGACACGACTACAAGGTGCAGCACAATTGCTGCACCTTGTATCAATTGTAGCACCGTGTAGAAATGAGTAATTTTACTATAGACCATATTTATTAACAATGTGTGAACTACTCTTTTTAGTGATTTACTGCATCGGGATATTTTCAATAATGCTGCTAAGCCTCTTGGAGACAATTTGGGTGAATTATCTGATGGAGAAAGACTCACACGATGATGGCCAGATAGAGAGTGACAACAAACCAAGTAAGAACAAATTATAATTGGAAAAAAAACTCAAGCACATCTCATGCTGTCTAATTTTATTTTAGTTTATCATAGCTTGTTTGGAAATAATTTTTCTTACCAATTGCATGTATACCTAATGTAGATCCATAAAACTGTGTCATTCACTCAAGTCTCACACTTTCTTTTAAAAATAGTAAAGGCCTCTTCCATTGAGATGATGGATCAAACAACATCTATGTACCAAAGGGTGAGTGCAATCTTTTTAGGGTTTTTGGTTAAAAAGCCTTTGAAGATTTTGATAACAGTATGATGTAACTGCTCTAACAAAAATGAGAAAAAGCATTTTTGAAAAATAAAGGTATAAGTAGTTTAGAATAAGCTACTCTGAGGGAACCAGCTCTTGGCTTGTGACTTTTCCTCTTCAGGGTTTCATGTATAAAGCATGCTTACACACAAAAAGCTGTAGCCCAAGTTTAATGCAAAACTCTGGATGGATAAAAATGAACAATGTATGATAGTTTGGAACAATCCAATAAAAAATTTTGACCTGCTGAATTTGTGGCAGCCATGCAAACATTTTTAAAGACAGTAACAAACTTAGAAGTCCCAACACTTACACAAGTACACCGAAATAACACTCTTGGATTATTTAAACTCAAGGAGCGAAGGAACCACTTTTTTATTTAAATTTGAATTATATGAAGCTTCAATCAATAATGTAACACATCCAAAAAATTGATGGAAACAACCCTAGGTTTAAACTATAGATATTCCTCTGTTTTGGACATGTAAATGCTCATTGCTCTGTACTGTACACCAAGGAGTGTTAAGTATCTATATTCTCAAACAGGCACTTTAATTCTAACTGGAAAATAATAATAATAATAATAACAATAATGGGATATCAACTGATTATTTCCAATAAGTCAGTTTTTATGTTTATTTGATAGAAGCAGAAGAAGCAATATTGTTACAATACCCATTAAATCTACTATAACAAATCTGAAATCAGTGTGATATATGCTGGTGGAACCACTGAGCTGACATGACATATAATTAAAAAAAAGGTTTATAACACTGCTTAAATTTGACCTTTATTATATAAATGTTTCTAACTATCATATTTCTATCCCTTACAATTAACAGTGAGTTACATAATTTTTAATTCAACAAGGTGTGATGACTTCCCATAGATTGCTGTGCTGTGATGACACTTTCAAAATGGAAGAATTAGGAAGAAAAAAATGCTTTCAGGAATCAAAGATTTCATGGCCAGTTATAAGGATTACAGTTACTACAGTGTTGCTCTCACATCAATTTGTTTAAGTGGGTCCAGTGGACCCACTTAAACAAAGAGATCAATTGATGAGATCGATCCACCATTTATCACAAATGTTTAACAGGATGAGGTCAGCACATGCAACTCTTCTGTAGGAAAAAATAAGGGGGGAGGTAGATGAGCACATAATTCTTAAGAAACACAATTAAAAGGTATAGTGGAGGATGTTATTTTTCTGGGTGGACCATCAAAATAAGTGGTCCTCCTAATTGTCAATCATTCTGTTCATGTGTTTACATAAGGCTAGCCTACGTGCTCGTCCCCATTTTCATTTACCGGTGGTAAGTCTGATATAATGGAAAAATTACAAATCTTCTTTTGGAAAGTAAGCTTGTATGAGTGATGCAAACAGTAACTTTTAAACAGAGCGTGCACAAGGAGAAATGGGCATGTGCATATTCTCGCATGCATTTAATAGGCGTACTCTGTCGGGAGCAGGTACAGGGTTGTGCATTTATTTTAAAAATGTACACATCTTTTCAAACATTCATGAAAATCCTCCACTATACCTTTAACTGTAAATAAAAAAAACAACTAATAATTAAATTTGATACTTTATAAAACATCTTTAGATTTGAATTTTTTTATTGCTTTGCTGACTGCTATTGAATAAATTACATTATAGTTAAAAGTTAGCAAACTAAATGTTTTATTTTGCGTAAGTCTAAAATATCACCTTTTATTTCAGGTAATAATCACACTTTTGGCTGCAGAGGACTAAGGCTACGTTCACACTGCAGGCCTTGTTTCACAATTCTGATTCTTTTGTGAAATCCGATTTTTTTTTGTGTGTTGCTGTTCACATTTCCAAATATATGCGACTTGTATGTGATCTCCTGTGTGAACTGTAGTCATACAACACAAGTGTCCGGATTGCGCAGTAGAGGACGCAATGACATTACAGGCCAAAGTGCTCGTTGTTTATGGAAGTACACATTGATGGTAGTGCCAGCCATAAAAACACAATCTTTTCAAAATGGTTAAAGATAAATACTGCTCTTCGCATCATCATCTGCCATGGTTGTTGTTTTTCTTGCTGCTTCTTCATAGCAGGACCCAGAATAGTAACCTTTGTCGGGTATTAATGACGTTCAGGTTGGCAAAATGCGACCTGGCCGTTCACACACAGGTCGCATTTGAAAAGATCAGATTTGTATCGGATTCGGGACCACATAGCCAAGTGGTCTGGGTCGCATTGGAAAAAATCGGATCGGTTTTGTACAGGCTGCCATGAAAAGATCAGATACAGGTCGCATATGGGCCAAAAAAAAAGGATTTGGGTCACTTTAGGCTGCAGTGTGAACGTAGCCTTAGTGTCTCACTGGTTATGAATTTCCCCACGTTACTGGTCCTTAGGTGGCCAGTTAGCATAACAACCTATTAGTTATCAGCTGGCAGAATCACTCATGCTAGTACTGGTGGTAACATTATCAACTTACTCCATCACCTTAGCAGAAGATACAAAGAATTTATGCTATTATGGTGCCATGTTATTATATGAGGTTGTTCAGTTTCATCACTTTGGTTTAATTAAAACACCAAACCTCAAACTCATGAAGCTCTTGATGCCGTGTTTAATGTTTCTTGATATAAACACAGCTGAACTTACTCATCTCAGTGCAGTGAAGTGAGTCCAAAAGTAGTTTGACATGAAAAATTGTAAAACATTTGTTTGGCTGTCGAACATTGACCATTTCTGAACACATTAACACAACATTGATTGGGTGGTACGTTTTTTTGTACTGTATATGCAGAGTTTGTTCATGAGGCCACTGTACCTGATCAAAAGGGTATACTGAAATGTTTCTATCATAAATTGGATTTTAATTCAAATGTTTTCGAATTGCATAAGAGGAAATCCAGAAAATACTTTCAAACATTTGAGAAGAACCCTGTCATTTCCCATCAGCTGGTTTGTAACATATGACTCTTAACTCTTGCAGGGTGGAAGCAGCCAACTGACTGGGCTCCTGGAAAAAATCTCAATTGAGCTTAGAGAGATAAAAACAACTTTACATGGCAAAAAAACAAAACAGAAGGGTGGTTACTGGACCAGAGTTGCCAAAAAAATAGACAAGATCTTTTCTACTGTATATATCTTAGGAGTCCTTCTGTTTTTAATTATCATCTTCTCAGAGTGGCAGTCACAATTAAAGAGACACTAAATATTTTCTGCTTGTTTTAAAAAAAAACCGAGGAAGAAATATCGAAGAAAACCTTGTATCCACTTGCAGCTTATGGTTCACTTTGACTAAACCTGATTAAGCCTTATATATGGTCCATCCTTATATATGGTCCATCACAATCCTGGTGACCCTGGAAAAGTCGCCAGTCCATCGCAGTGCAACACAGAAACAATTAACCAGGCACACACACACATACCTACTGTAAGGGCAATTAAGGATGCCATTTAGCCTAAGACTCATGATTTTGAACAATGGGAAGAAGCTGGAGTAACCAGAGAGAACCCCCGCATGCACGGTGCTGGAAATTGAACCAAGGACCTTTTCCCTGCAAGGCAACAGTGCTACAAATGGCGCTATCAAGCAGCCCCCCAGAATGTTACCAGATGATGAAGTTAATATTTTGTGACTATACAGTTATCAGGAAAAAAATATATTTTAGTCCTTAAGAAATAAGGACAAAAAACCCATAAACAATAATCTTACATGTTAGAAGTATTTCATCCAATGATGTATCTGAGTTTTGAATGTATCATACAGCATGTATTACGTATTAGAATGTATTAGAAAGGGAAGGAAATTTAGGGGTGGGTTTGACAGTGTGAATGTTTAAGGACCAAAAATGTACTTAGGGCTTATTTAGTGCATTTCAATTTAATACCCAAGCAACAGCTGGGGTACTGCTGAAAAAAAATACATGAATGTGCTTAATTTGCATCCTACACCATAAGCACATATAGGCATTTTGAACAAGACTTAAAATTATCTATCCATTCAGATCGAGCTTAGGTTGTTTTATTAGTTTTATACACAACCTAAAAGCGTTTGCAGCTACAATAGTGGGCAAATGACTCTACTTTTAAAATGTTTTCCTGTTTTTTGTTTAAACTACCTTTCCATTGTTATTGGGGCTGTGTTCCTGTATACCGCATAAAATCAAAAAAAAAAGTTCTTTTAAGTTTGAGTTTTCAATTTGTTGACAAATGCCAACTATGCAGATAACACTTTTCTTTTAAGTCATATAGTTTAATGAAAGCAAAGACAAGTGGTATACAATAAAATATGGGTAAATAACTAGTTTTAGTTTTAATCTCATATTCTAAGTCTTTGGTACTGGTTGTTTTTTTTTTTTTTTTATTAAGCCATACTTGTTGCAGGAAATTATTAGTGATTGTACATGATGTTAGGATCTTTCATATACTGTAACATATGCATCTGCTATACATACAGATACCAAAATATGTGATGCTTAAGTTATATGAATGAGAACATGCATCTATCAGAAAATAAAGTTTTGTTTACATACAAGATTATTTACATATTGTACAGCATCATAATCACTTTCTTGTAGTAGCTGCTGTAGTTTACATATTTTACTTATGTGGAACTGCTCACAACCTAAAACTAATAAAATATGCATAGTATGCGTTGTTTTGGTTTTATATATGTATAATATGATGAAAGAAAAACACACTATGGCACAGAAATAACTTGAATATTGAAAAAAGCAATAATAAAGAAAATTCATATAAAAATGAAGGAATAGAAGTTAGCTTTTCAACCATGCTTCAGCAGAATGATTTTAAAACACAAACACATGAAATTTGCCTGGACTAAATTATGGTAGCCCTAGAAAAGTGTGAAAATAATGTGACTGAAGGGAAGTGTTAAATCAAGGTGTGTCTACTAATTAGCATCACAGGTGTCTACAAGCTTTTAATCAGTGAGTGGGTCTACTTATAGTGCTACATGTAGTCACTATGCTTTAGTTGTGAACGAGAGCAGAGGCAGAGCTAGATAGGTGGCCTTGGCCCCCCTTGCCACTCCTAGCCAGTCAGTGGCCATCCTTCTAGGCCCCCCTACAAGGTGGTTTGTTTTTCTATGTGAATGTAATTTATCACCTTTAGAACAAGCAGTTTTTCTCTAAACCAGAAGGTGGCAAGGGTGATAACATCATCATATCTTAAAGTTAGTGCTAACTAAAAACAAAAAATTATGTAAAAATTATGTAATACAAATAAAAATAAATACAGAATTAATACTAATTTACAATTTAGGTTTTTTAGGGTGTGTCTCTGCAGTCATGAGTTTTCTATGTAACTAAGGATAAAGAATAACTCATCAACCGAAATAATGTATATATTATGTAGAACCATAAATTAATTTGTACAACACTGATAAATACATTTTAAATAATGAAAAATTGGTCTATCTTCAGTGATTAATTTGGACACATAGATGCTGTGCACGTTCATTGTCTTGTTAGTTTGTTTTCCTCAGTATAGATTGAGAGTGTTAGGTTGTGTGGGGGGTTTTAGAGGACCAAAATGCAGAGACGGGAGCTGAAGTGGTTTCTTGCCTATTTAATAACCAAAAGGAGGAAAGACGTCACGGAAAACACACGAGGAGCAAAGAAAGGACGAGAAACCTGCGAAGAGTAGCTGAAGTGGAGCAATTTAAATGGGAGCCAGAACAAAGACTGAGCTAATCAGCAGATAGAAGGTGTGTATAGAAGCACCTAAAGGGAACAAGGGGAAGGTGACTTACACCAGAGGGCAAAAGAGAGTAAATAATAAATACATAAGAACTCAAATACAACCAAAAACAACTAAAATAACACAAAATGGAAATGAAACCAATGAAAACTCATAAAGAAAACTTAAACAGAACCTTACCCTTAAAATAGGATAATTACATAACATGCACTTGAAATAAGACAATGTAATTGGGATCTTATTTTAAATGTAAATTGCCTTGTTCCATTGGCAAAATGTCTCTTTTTCCTCCTCAATCCAAAAACAAAGGCACTTATTTTAAGAAAAAAT